CTCTTATCTCACACGACTGATCTATGCCTCAGTATGCGATCGTACAGAATGGCCATCTTCCCAGAGTACTGGCTTCGAACCTGCCTGGCCAGCTCCGGGCTAGTGACCATGTCGAACTCCAGAGAGATGTTGTCTATGGCGTAACTGGCCTCATCACCGTTCGGCGTACGCACTACTTTGCTGTAGTCGTTAAACGTTAGCTCGTATTCAAGCCTATCACCCAGCGCGGCCTGGTAAAACGGCGCGTGTCCCATGATCAACTCGAAGTCGAGCGGCACACAGAACCGGTTCCCGTACGCTTGGGCGATGGCCTTTTCACCGTCCGTGATCTTGTCTAACTGGTCTTGCGTGAAGCCATACCCCACGCTCAACCGGGTTGATTTGCTGATACCTTGGTACACGGTTCCCGTACGCTTAGGCGATGGCCTTTTCACCGTCCGTGATCTTGTCTAACTGGTCTTGCGTGAAGCCATACCCCACGCGCAACCGGGTTGATTTGCTGATACCTTGGTACACGTCATTGACGCATTCTCCCTCAGTTTTCCATAGGTCCCCATAGCAGTGAAACACGTCGCTGTCATCGATGCTCAGCACCTCGTTACCGCTGATCTTGATGGTGGTTTTCTTGATGATGGCTCGACCTACGTTCCGCACTAGCTCACGTTTGTCGTTGGTGGAGGTCAACGTGAGGTTGAACGCCAGTCGAACCGTGCCTGGTACAATGAGGTCATTCTCGCCAAGGTTTGGAAATCTAACCAGCAGCGTTTGGTTCTGGTCTATCTTGCTGGGATTGTTGGTGATGGTCACCGACTGGCGCACGGCTCTGATGCCTAGAGGCTCTCTCGATCTTCTCAAATGATCTAGTTTTCTACCGTACATTGTTATATAAATGAAATATATAAGTTTTAATACTAAATAATGGCAGAGTACATCCCTATGGAGGATATGTGGGATGATAGTGCCCAGGCATTCGAGAATGACACCACATTCACTACCCTCTTAAGTACTGAACTTGTACAGCCTGCTGTCGACGATTATTACGACGCAGTTGAAAATAGAGACAACATAAAGCCGTTGGGAAGGGACTATGCCAAGTTTACCGTCGATAAGAAGGGCACGCTGCGATTGAAGGCTCACCCGGGGGTCGATATCATAAAAAAAGACGGGAAGCCGTATGCTTTGTCAACACTCACCAGTCGCCCTGGTGGGGGTCAGCTGATCCGTGATGAACTAGGCTTCATAGATTACGGCGGCGCGCGGCCAAAGCTTCCCCCGAAGGTCGTCCAAGATCTGCAAGCAGCCAGACCCAAAGGCGATGAAATGATATACCCCAACGTGCTAAAGAAACGTCGGACAGTATCGAGAAAATATTGACCACGTACCATGACAAACCCTTGCCGGGTCTCGAATTTCCCCTGAGGGAACTGCGAGGCCTAGACGAAACCTTGAAACATGTACGCGGAGAACTCGTGAACAACATGGGGAAACTTAACGAAATCGATGAGCACATCGCTCGCGAGAAAATAAAACTCACTGAAGCGGATGGTGATATGAAACGTCTTATCGAGGAGAGAATAAAAAACTTGGAAGACGAGAGACGGACTCGGTTGGAATCCGCTTCCTCTAACCGGGAAGCCCTCCGATCACAGATCAGTAGAGTACGGGAAACCATCGATCGAGTCCTAAATGAGGACACCACGCTAGCTGACAGGATTCGGATACTGTTCCAGGAGCAAGGCATCACCATCGCCAGCATTCTGACTGCATTGGGATTCATCATATCAACCCTGGTGGTGTCATTAACGCCTGCCGGCGGCGGGGGTACCCCCACGCCTGCTGGTAAACCAAGTGGTGGGGGCTTCAAAGCCTGGATAAAAAAACTCGGGGAGGCCCTGGCTAAACTGGCTGGTAAGGCCGCCGGCATCCTGGGTAGCATCGTCTCGTGGCTGCTGGGCGCTATGGCTAAAACTGCCACGTGGCTCATTCAAAACCTATGGGCAGCCATTGTCGCCATGGTGGGTTTGGTGTACGTAGCGGCTAAGAAATTTTTAACCAAATAAGTCCCAAAGCTACCCCACCAACCACCAGGGCTGTTTTACGGTCGATGTGCTGCTGTGTGTGTGGGGGTGACCCCACAGGGGGTGTATGTTGAACCCTAGGCTCCGGGGGTGGGGTGACTATACCCATTTCGCCGGTCGTGGGTGGTGGGACGTGGGGGATGTTAACATCGGGGTTGACGCCCAACTTTTGGCCCGCCGTGGCTATGACTATTTCGTTGTTGTAGCCCACCACTTTTTTTACCCTCAGTTGCATATCGCTCGGAGCCATGTACAACCCCACGTTGAACACGTAGTCGACTTTCGACCTGGCGTATTCCAACACGTCTTGGTAGCGTTTGATGGCACTCGGTAGATCAACTGGAGCATTGATAGCATCCTCAACGTTGACAACAAACTGTTTCTGAGCGTCGTAAGCAGTCCCCTTACCGAGGATGTTGGAACGCTGCGTTTGCGTCTGCGCAACAGCGCCCACACGTACGTTCGAATCGAGTCGTTTAGCCTGATTACCCGACACGAGTGAATCCTTTCGACGTGTCCAGCATGAACTTTTTCCAGTCATCCGCTGCCCCCTGCTCGAACCTCCAGACTCGGTAATCCTTACTGTTGTCGAAAGCCATGTAACGGTCATCCCACTCGTTCGTTGTGAGGTGATGATACGACTTGTATCCCCATTCTTTCAACTTCTCGCTGGCATCCACGAGGTGCATGTTGTGAACAATGGGGATACCCAACCCGTGGTTCGGTCCCGGCAAACGCCAATCCGTCTTCGTGTTTAGTTCGAATTCATTGCAAATACGTTCGTAGGCCCGCCTATCGTACTTGTTGTTTACTGCGTTCCATGCGCGTTGTCCTGTGGGACCGGGCTGATTTCTTTAAGGATACGCCTGACCTGGTAGTACACGTGGAACGTGAACACAGACTGACTCAGCGGTCCACGCCGAGTGTCGGTTAATGTCACACCACACCCCGTTGTAGCGCACCACACGGCGAAGTTGAGTTGATTCTGCCAGAACTGCATCGGGTTGTTGAACCAAGCCTGAACTACCTTAGCGTTAGTCACCGAAAATTTATAAAGGCTGAACACATCTAAAAGCTGGGCGTTGAAATACATCCCATCAGCGACCAGCGATCTTCATGGGTGAGAAATCTACGTCCAGTTTAGGGTAAAACACTCCAGGGGAATACATTTTAAAACTATTATATAATGAGCATATATACTCTAACATGTACATAACACTTCCAGGAATAACTGGCGGCGAGGCCGTTCAGCTGGCCGCGACGCGATCGATAATACGTCGGGTCAACTCGAAGTCGCACTCTGCGATATCACCTACCTACCGCAATGGACTAACATCAACGCCAGCAACAATAAGCTGTTCGTCAGTGGAGCTCGCAGCCAGATAACTGACGGCTACTACAGCGTGTCCTCGCTAAGCGACGAGGTCTTCAAACCCCTGGGAGCCGAACTCAAGATGAACGACTCAAACGGTACAGTGGTGTTAATCAACAACGGAAGAAACTCCTTGAGACTCGGTCGACCATTGGCGAGGACACTAGGTATGTCGCCTGACGAGATAAAACCAACAACAACCGTCACAGTCACGAAGTTACCCGACCTAGTACCGTACCGAGAGCTGTACATTCATCTCGGTCAGGTGAGCACAACGTACAACATTCAAGGGGGGTCACCCTTCCACTATACTGAGAGCAGTGCCGGTTAAAACGGAGAAATACAACGACGGTAGAACTGAGTCGTTTTCACCACGGCAGTATAAGAGGTTGACTCAGGGCAACATACCTGAGCTGATAATATCGGTGTTAGATATAAATCATAATCCCGTGAATATAGGATACCTCAGCTTAACGCTTCACATAAAATGACCAGCGCACAAGGGCCCGGGGTGAAAAAATGCATCAATGTGGGGATCTCCGACCTCGGGGACACACGCGGATTCGACGCTCCCGGAGTAGATGGTAAATTGTACGCCTTGCAACTGAAAAACAACATTTACAAACGTGTTGAAGTCCCCTCCGGTGGAGCCCTAGGTGATATAGTAGATACCACAAGAGCGACAGTCAACACTCGGTACACCCTAGTCACCACCGGGGGATGATAAATGGATAATATACCCATCGTTCGGTGGCAAACTGTTCGACTTAGACGATGTTGAGAGCACTACCGTCGCCCGAAACAAGCCATATACGATCGTCTTCACCGAAGATGACAAGTGGGTGTTGTTACCAGATAAAGACGACTGGTTTCTCAATATTAGGCTCGGCTCCCCCTACGTGTTCACGGATAACAAAGACAACCACCTAAACAAAGTCGTGAACAACGGAACCCTGCTAGTGGCTTACGTCCCCACTCAGAGACGTAGCGTAGCCATCAGCCCAGTCGCCAGTATGGCAACCCACATGCTATCGAGTAAACCGGGAATGCAAAACGTGACATTGCAGTTGGTGTCTGAATTTGAAGGCGTGGTCAGGATACTGGAGAGTCTACCGGCGAACTCAACACTGATCATCAAAGTCTACCTAGGGGAACCATCGGGGAATGAGGTCGAGATCGTGAAGGGGGTCAAACTCGGGTGTGGTGAAACGACACCAGTATCACGTTTGCACAGTTTACGTGCGGATGGGTGTCGGCTCCAACACCAGTCTGCAGGGTGTCACTGTGATCGTGGAAAACACGATATCACTAACCAAGATCTTCCTACCTGACAACATACACTTCATGGAGGTGAAGTTCACCCCTGAACTATTATCAGAAAACCAGTTGGAAACTATATCGTAGTAGTATTATAGCAATGACCAGTCATCATCCCAACACTACGCTTAATGACCTAGGGGACACGGAGGGATTCGATCAGCCTGGTGAGGAAGACACCTTATACATCCTGCACTTGAAAGACAACGTGTATAGGCGGGTGTCGTTATCAGATTTTAAGGAGCCCAAATGGGTGATCAACGTGACCATCACCACACCTTTTATCTCACTAGACAAATATGGCTATGTCTCTGAAACTAGGAACAACGGTACCTTGATCACGTCTTTCATTCCAACTAAAAGTATGGTAGTTTCTAACTCCGAATATTTGCTTAGGGACACCCTGTTAATTTCATCCAAGCAGTCCCAGTTAAAAGCCACCCACCATGATACCATAGCAGGGGTTAGGGCTATGGCCCCAGAATCCACACTCATCGTAGAAGTCGCTCACAATGGTAAGTTTGATGATTCGGACGGCGTTGACCCACCCCCAAACTTGCAACTTTTACCCGGTGTAACAATACGTTGGGGTGACTCCTACGCATCAGATTTTGTATATTGCCGTATCGTTATACGATTGGGGGACTCCCAACAGGGATTACTACCCCCCATAATAAACGGCTATGGTGTTGATATAGACCAGAAGTTACCTATTGACCCTTCCCGTATCTACACATACGAGAATCTAAGTTTTATAAGCCTCAGGTACGTTGACCGACTATTAACTGAAACCCAATTAAAATATCTTTTTGTAATATATATTATAGGATGGGGCTATACCCAGTCGTAGAGGAAGTAGCGAAGACCCTGGAAACCGTAGACGGGTTCCGTTTGAGGCAGTTATGTGATGTAAAACGCCAACTAGAACAAGACCGCGACACGCGGAAAGCACTATGTAAAAAGTACCATAGAGCTTTCAATATCGTAGACGTGGCTGATACTGCCCTTATGGCAACCAGCATGGGGCTAGGGGCGGCAGGTGTTGGGTTGTTAGCTACCGTCGTGGCTACCCCCGTAGTGCTAGGCATTGAAATAACAGCTGGGGTGGCAGGGGTGTTTGCATCCCGCAGACTGCATCGTAAGGCATTGAAACACGACGAGATCAGGGTTCTGGCTGAAGCAAAGCTAAACACAGTAAGTGAGCGTATTTCCACTGCACTCACTGACAGTAAGATCTCAGAGGAGGAGTTTAGTTCAATCCTCTCTGAACTCACAAAATATAACAAAATGAAACAAGAGATTCGATCCAAGTCTCGTAAGTCTGCTATCAGTGAGGATGAGAAAAAAAAGTACATAGAACAAGGGGTGAAAAAAGCCCAGCAAGCCTTTATTACAAACACCAAAGAGATCATAGGCGATTCACATTAAACTGTTTCATCGAGGTCAACGTGGCATAGTGCCCCAGGATAGACCCGTTAAACCGACATATTTCAACAATGCCCCGAGTAGCTCAGTCGGTTAAGTGGCGTGGCTAGAAGGTGTAACATCGGGCGTTCGTATCCCGCTGGCGTCCCTAACTTTTTTATAGTAGGGGTAATGGTAGCAAGAGCTAAGGGTCCGACCAAAGCCTTATTTTGGAAATAAGGCTTTGCAGAGGCTTTTGTTGGAACTGCTCCAAAACCCCCATTGTATATACTACTCAGGATGTGTATATAGTGAGTGAGTGAGTTATTATTTAACGTCACATCGACAATAGATGTGTATATAGCTTTAACAAACCTAAAATTCTGTTGAAAAAGTGGCCTTAATTTTCTTCTCAGTTATACACTGTTGCAGAGTGTCCAGCGACATGTGAGGCGGCACAAAGTTGTAGTAGGTGGCGGAAGCGTCGTTGTCTACGTCCACTTCAGCTTCAACTGATAGGGTTGCGTCTTCGTCTCAATGGGGAACATTCCTGGAGTTGTGCCCCCTTGCCCGCTGAGAGCGCTGCTGTAGTTACGGTCCAACAGTAGCTGTCACTCTGATACTGGTATATAGGACTGCCTATCGGCAAAGACTAAACTTCAATCGACATTAAACCTACTTTTTACTTGGTGGTTCTTATATTACGAATTACGGAAGCTGGAAGTTACCCCGACTGAAGACTGTTGTCAAAGCACGAAGAACTAGCGTGTCTGGACGAAAAATAATGCTAATAGAACGGTACTGCAGTTATTGTAATATTGCCGTTTCTCGAATTTCTTATTGAGTAGTTGCTTTGTAAATTCGTCAAGCCATTTACTCCCAATTATGTCACATTACACAGAGCACTAATGGCGTCGTAATAGTTGTTAGAACATAGGATTAATGTACAATGAAATTAGCGTTAGACAAATAACGTTAGCACTGACCTGATTACGCGCACAACACAAGTGTTTCAGTTTTCGTTCACGTAAACAAACTATTCACATAGTCTATAACGCTTTGGGATGCAATGGAAAGAGGAAATGCTATGGCAACGGATCGTTTTCGAGAGGATTTAAAAACATAAATAATTTTTATGGAATTAACGACTCGTTGACAGTGTGTTCGACAAAATATATTACACCCAATCACACGATAAATAAGCTCACAACTTCCGGTTTATAGTTCCTACATACATATTTAAGGACCGTTCATAATTAATGGGGTGGGTGTTGGTGATGATTTTTATGGAGATTCATGTACAGTTTGAATGACCTACCTAAAATTCATGTACAAAGTAAGTGACACCCCCTTTGCATATGTCATATTCAAAATCAATTACCCCACCCCCCACCCCATAATTTTAAGCATTATCTTTTTCATGTACAGATTTGCTTACCCCCTAGTACATGTGTACAAAATTGATGACCTCTACCTTTCCAGAACAAAATAGGTGATCTCCCTTAAGTTCATCATCACCTCACACCCCACATCCCCCAAATATATTATGAACGGTCTCTTAGACCATTATTCAATCCCCAAAATGTACAGTAGCACATTGCTTGCACAATACATTTCTAAGTATCATTTGGGACCCCACCCCAATCTGTACAATTTTTAAAGGCTGTCTCTTCTCAACACAAATGACCAGTACGTAAATGACAGATCACATTTTGAAAAGAATATTATTTGAAATTATGTTTCAGGTGTTGTCAAATAATGTAACTAAGCATGAGTGAATTACTGAAATATAATAAACACATTGAACCATTACTGGAGGTCTGAACTATCTGAAGCCAGAAGGGGGTATCGGGTTCATTGTCTTTTAAGGTGGGAGCCTTTTAAATTTGAATACAAATATTTCACATTTGTTATTCCAGCATGTGTGAAGGGTTTGCAATTACGTCAAGGCTCATCACAATTATAATGGACTCACAGTGTCAGTGAACACAGTGTGTATCTGAAATACGGAAACAAGGAATAATTTAGCTTTTGAATGGTAGTCTAAATGGTACAATTGAGATTCTACAATACTTACGATTATTCTCACGTGTCAATTATCATCAGACAAAAATCACCAAAGTCTGGGTTGTCATTTCACTTTTTATTGTTCAACATATTTTATTTTGCATGTATGGACATTCATAAATATAGACATACATACAGTAAAAAGTGATGGTCTCCTTTGATGAACCTTGATTAACACTTACATCAGATGCATGTTGATGTTTTCACACTGTCAATCATACTGTCAATATTGCTGTACAGATAATTTAAGTGACATGCATATGCACCAAAAATGGAAGTACAACAGTGAAGTCTGAATACTTTGACAGTCCTGTGTAAATGAAAATTGCTGCAGCACTAAGCATAATAGTTAGTACTTGAAACACTGCATGTTTGTCTCTGTGTTGATATACAGTTACTTTCATATTTGGCCTGTGCCCAGTCTAGAGAGAAAATGTTTGGCTCAATATTCTTGCCATCAAAATCATCATGGGTGATTGTTTCCTCCCCAGCGGCCTCACTGATATTCAACATCACAAGTATCCACCAACATTAAGTTGGGTCAGCTGATACAGTCCAGGGAAAGAATTGGTCATACAGCATCTGTTTTTCTCTGTTGCCTCATGACTGCCAGTTATGAGAAAATGAGAAAATGTATCATTATCAGATTTAAGTCACTATTGTGGAGAAAGACATGTCACATAATGAACATGTTCATTCGGATAGGTCAAAGGTGGAAAACATTAATCTTAACAAATGTTTCAACTATGGAGAAGCATAATTTAAATATGCTGACATTTTGTCCTTCTCTGAGTGGCATTTAGAAGTTGGTGTGATGAACAACAAGGAGAGTTCTATGGATATACAACTTCTTTAATATAACATGAGCGACATTGTGGTGTAGCTACTAACACCGTTAGATCAAGCAAGTAACTCTCCTCGTTAATTTTTTTCTATAGGGAGATATGTCTGATACAAAGAAGTGTGTTCAACAAGTACACCAGACATTATTCAGACAAATTCATACCAAAAGTAAACAAACATTAACCTGTATCATGTGTATTCTGGAATCACCCGGGCCTCATCTTTGTGGACAACAGGCACCTGTAGGGAGATGTAATATTTGCATTAAAGGGAAAAAGTCAATTGTGTATTAGCATTCTTGATAAACTTTAATTCAACACTGAAGGGAGCAAAGGTGTTATTGTCAAACATAAACAACTTTGCAAACATGTATATAATGATGCTAACTTGCTTTTTAAAAGCAAGAAGCAAATGAAAGTTAACCCACTAGTTCACATGAAAATTTACTTGTGAAATGCCAATTACCTTAAAATATTGAAAATAATAGATTGGGGTCTGTTCCAATTTACTTGCCTACTCTATCTACCTGTCATCAGAAGATATAAGCATATGTGAAAATATCACATACATTAGAACTTTAAGTAGATTGCTCAATGGAACTCAGTGTCACACTGACAACTGTATTAAAGATGCATGACCAGGTGCTGTCATATTGATGTGCCGTATGAGAGAAGACAAGCAGGTAAAATCAACAGGCCATATCAAGTGATGAATGCTTTGCTAAGATATCATTAAAAAATAGTTGAAAATAAATTCAATAGATTAATCTGAAATTAGAATCCAATAGCTGTGTTCAAGTACTGTGGAAAATTTTGAAACAATGTTAACAATGAATAAAGCCTAACTACTATAGAAACTGTTTTATCATGTTTATATAGCTAATCTGGGGTGCCGATTTCAGGAGATATCATCAGTGGCATTCTACAGATGGTGACGTCTTGGGCTGCACCCTTTGTAAAGCGAAAAGATTGTGTACTATAAGTTTTGATGATTACTACAGTGAGAGGCCCCTAATGTTTAGCATGAAAAGTTTTGTACAGCCGGTGTACCTCTTGAAGCAACACATTCTTTTTCCCTGAATCTATTCAAAACCCCTGCTCGTAATTTCGGCTGGCATGCACGTTAACTAAATTTGGCAAGGAAATAACAATAACAAACGTTCTTTAATCTGTAAAAGATTCAAAATACGTGGTACTTACCATAATTACTTACAGTAATGAAATAGCTTTGACAGAAGTGGAAATGGCACTCAACACTGGGAGTGAGACCTCGTCCTGCTTTGGTTTCTTTCGTCGCTACTTCGAATGGTAGTCAACCACCATTTCAGCAAGTTTTGACCTCTCGGACACGTCGAACCTCTATTGCAGCATCCCGAGGCACGGCAGCATGTCTCAGTCATCGTAATTGTTGCGCATTTGAAATCGACCGTGCAACAAACTTTGAACGCCATCATTATATACCGGAAGTACACTTAGGACCGTAGTGATTGGCGCCATCTATTGGCGAGGCGTTAAAGGGAGATAACTGAGGAATGTTCCCCATTGTCTTGGATCGCTGGTGTTGAACTGGGTTTGTCTCTAGCTGCCTTGTCTGAAAACGATAACAAAGTTTTGAATAACCTTCTTGTCTCACAATTCCTGATTCCGTTTAAGCACACCAAACAAAACAAAAGAGTGTCATTTGCTATTCGTCATGCAATACCAAACCACATCACTCCAAGATTTATACAAAATACATATGACTGCGTGTTTACTTCATTTTATGTTAATAATACACAATATCTGTTTACACACGTCGGCAAAATACAGCTGTCTTTTAAATTCGAGATAAAACGATAAGTTCACTCTGTGTACAATTTGATGTTGAAACTTCCAGTAGGATAAAGTTATTATAACTTAAATGTATACAGGTACCCATTCATATTTTATTTTGCTTCCAATATGCGAGGGTTACACGAATATATTCACTTAGGATACGGGTAATTGCGTCCTTATAAGTATTAAATTTAGTCGACAACGCTCAAATATTACCAGTTTTGGTTTTGATGCTAGTCATGTCTTGGGTAGACTGCAGTCTCTCGTCATGTTTTGATTCCTTCCTTTAGCATAAGAAAAAGAACGCAATTGAATACAGAGAACACCTACCTTGTTGAAATGGGTATTAGGTTGAGATATCAAAGGTTTCATAAACATTGGCAATATGAAGTGAAAGGCCATCCAGGTTCGCACGAGATTACTAGTAACGTAAAAGCACGAACATTTAGTAAAAGTGCTCATACCGCCGCCTGAAGATGATAACCGACGATTATGATGATGGCGATGGCCAGCAGAGCTGCAACTGTCCCTCCAATTATTCCAGCCATAGATCCTTCTTTATCATCGGTAGGCGACAGACCTTCAACAGTCATTATTTATACTGCAGTTACTTGAAAGCCAATATGCCAATATAACTGACAGTATTTTCAATTTCTTACGCTGTTGCTGATGATTTGAGACGCAAAATATTCAAAGTAAACTATGATAGGTTTTAGTTGGTAAATCGTAATTGTGTTCTTGAAACTCTAAAAATTGTGTCATATATATGTAACACTTACAAGGTCAACGTTGCATACGAACAGCATTGCGATAAGGGCGACCTTAATGTACAAAGCAACAGTAAACGTAAATTGTATTCCTCCAATCGTATTTGAGGGTTTCCAGTTTCAAGATTTAGATTCAAAGTGATTATGTTTTTTACTCGAAATGAATCAAATACATTCCGTGTTTATCTGAGAGAAAGTGTTCTGTTCCAAGTACATACACATAAGCACATACGTGCGCTCACAACGGGCACTTGAATACCCTCCATCACATCCACTCCCGCAGTTTCCGTTAGTTTTGTCGCATACTGTGCCGCTCTTGCAGTGACCACATTCTGATGTACAACCGCTGCCGTACTTCCCGTCTTCACACACTGAAATAATTAGTTTGGTATCACAAGTCTCATGAATATGTGTCTGTTTGTGTCAGAGGAAACGTCTTATACGTTTCTTACGAACATTAACCGTGGAAGATATAGTCAATGTCCATGTTGAAACTGAAGTGTTAATAATCGTGAGGAACGTGAGGAACAAGCATTGTAACGTGATCACGAGGACTCTGGATGAGACATGAATATGAACCAAATAAACCATTTACCGTTATGGCACGTGTTATTCACCCACCCTGTTGCACATCCGTTGGGACATGTTCCCGTTGACCTGTTACACACATCATTGTCCAGACAGTTTCCACACTTAGGCATGCAGGCAGTACCATAGTAACCATCTGGACATGCTGTGAAAAGAAGTGCACTTGAAATGAAATGTCACAAATTTGACCTGAAGTAATGGGTATACTATTATGAGTACATACATAACATACGTTGTGACATACATATGCATTCCAAGAACATAAACAGTACTCATTTCATAAGAAAGTGTTTTCATTACAATTTTACGCTTACAGGTATCAACTGGCTATATTGTGCACAAGTCACGAGAAGGTTTCCCGCAGAACGAACACAAATAGGTCACTTGACAATTCACATTAAACTGTTGTTTAAGGACATTTTATGCCAGACACCACTAACTGCTTTGATATGGGAATGTATGTAAATCACAAATCAAGATAAAATACACGCTGACCTAACTGATTTAGGGCACAAGCAACCTTCCTCATAAATTGTCCTCGTATTAACCAAAGGCGCTACTGTTTCGGAAGTGTAATCAATAATCTAAAGCAGTATGGTGAATAAGACTTAATAATGTTATGTTACCAAATTCATATGGAATATATTCAGTTTAATGTTCATGAGTTCATTGATGTATATGGCATACACTGCGCAAGAACGACTTACTTTGTTTACACCTGCCATTGATCCACCCTGCTGCACACTCTCCAGGACATGTTCCATTTATCTTGATGCAAAAGTCACCTTCCACAGTTGCCACACTGGAAGCCACAGTTCGGACCATAGTAGCTACTCGGACATGATGTGGTCATACACATTGTTTGTTCATGAGTCCAATGATAGTTGAAAGGACGTAGATGAATAGGCGTATTAATTACCATCTTTATTTCAATGGTGACAAAACGGAATTAAGAACATTTAAGAAAAAAACACTATCGTTGCCTCAATAAAGTGTAATTATTTTTTTAAACATCCTCGTAAAATCCTTCTATCATTATTAAAGTCATAAATATATTTCAGGGAAAATCATACATTAAGTGGACAAATGTCACCTGCAAAATTCTACATAGTATAACACCTATACTTACAGTGAAGACAGGTATCGTTCATCCATCCTTATGCACATTCTCTAGGGCACATTCATGTTGACTTGTTACACACATGACCATCAAGGTAGTTTCCACACTGGGAGGCACAGTTCATACCATACCGTCCATCCTGACACGCTGTACACAAAGGGTATTACGTTGAATATGATGACAAAGTAGGACAATATTCTGTTGTTGGCAGCGTTCATCTCAGTACTCTCATGAAATTTCAGACATACATCAAATAACCATTTTGGCGTATTACCAACCGCAAATTGCACTCAACGTCAGTAGACAAAGATAAAGCTCTATTAAATCATCAGGTGAGAAAACATGATCTTTGGACAAGGAATGAACTACTTTTTGAAAACAAAACTTTCCACTAGACTGAATGACAATAGGATGACTTTCAATATTTAACTGTGTCAATGATCCAGCATGTCCGACCTTCAGTATCCGTGTTGAAATCTTTTGAGGTTCAAATCAAGCATACTTGACAACTTCAATGAAAGAGTCGTAGACGGCTTTCTCTAAGGTAGTTTAAGCAAGGTTAGAGTAGTACTTGTCTCAATAGAACGTTGAAAAGATTTTATAAGGGACACGAGGGTGAGTGAGTAAGTGAGTGAGTGAGTTAAAATTTATCGTCACATCGGCAATATTTCAGCCATATCGTGACGAGATCAATTAATTTAATACATAGTAATTAATAGTAAACTGTAAAATCCTGTCAACGAAGGACAGTAAAATAACTAGATTATCACAGATTCGAATTTAAAACTAGTAATTAAATCTAAAACAGTTTAACTACAGATGGTAATTTGCAATACAAGGTAAAACAGGCTATATTGCCAACAACTGAAGGTAGATCACCATACCAGGGACCAGGGACCCTAGCTGGATTTACACCATCCCTTCAGCTATTAGCAATTTTAGATAATCTAGCCACACATTAAACGATCATATATTCTACGATTAAAATGGTAGTAGGTTTAAATTTACTTTGAACGTTTTGGGACTTACGTACACTCTCCGGAGGACAATGATTGACACGAGAATGATATGTGACCAAAATTATATCAGATCAGAACTCGTACGTTCCCATACTTGTTTGAATTATTTTGCATGCCTTCGTTGTGTTTCCGACCAATATTGTTTTTCTTTTCACAAACACTTGATATTACCATTTTCTTGATAGTGATTAATACACATCTGCTTACCGTGAATACAGTCACTCATGATTATCGTAATGTTTGTGTCGATTTTTCTTTGCAAAACAAATCCAAGAATCTAAGAAATTCACGATTCGAATTTTAAACCATCAAATAATCAATCGTTATGGGAAGACTTTGGTTTATGGCATTCCTTTATTTTGTTTCGCAGGTAAATCGATACGTATAATCAATACTGTGCATTAGACAGTTGAGGTAAAATAAATAATCTGAGACCATGCACAGTGCAGTTAACTGCACCCTGAGCACAGAAAATGTACTCACGTTGAAGACAGGTGTCAGTTCGCCACCCTGCAGCACAACCTCCAGGACAGATGCCTGTAGTCTTGTTACTATAGGCAGCGTTGTAGCAGTTTCCACTCTTGGAGGTGCAGTCTCCACACGCTGTACATGATGTTAAACAAAACGTTGTTCAACTATATACTAGGTTTTTCAAATAGTATGAAGCAATGTAGATTTAGACAAACGAAACATATGTTATATTTGGGATTACACTTTCTTAGTAAAGTAACGACATACGCATTTTCAAATAGAAGCTTCATTCTTGGAAACATTTAATATAGCCCAAGGATGAAAATGTCCTGCTCATCAAGATACGTATGGGAAACGCAGTACATATATGTTACAGGGTGGAGACAATAATACCAAGTCTTTCTATTCAATTTAAACAACTTCAAAGCAATCCTCTTGCATTTATGCTGCTTATGTCTGCAGCGTTGTTATGTCGTTAGTTTGACGTTATAACACTTGCATGACTTGCATGATGACCAATATTCTAGCAGCTCATGCTTTGATCTCTTGATAACTTTACGTTATAGCCGACCATTCTCATTCTACGAAATTACAAAGAGATTCCGTCGACTCTTGCTCAAAAGATATTTCTTGCAGGATACACCGTTCGGGGCCTCGTTTCAGCATAAAATGTTTTATGATAGAGTCATATGGAGGACAGTTCCAAAGTTGATGCATCAGTAGCATAGAATTCCCTGTTTTGATTGTACTACATACGTAAATTGCCTTTGCATGTGTTTGTAACGGGCGCCATCGGTTGTGCAGGATACAGTCAACCTTTCATGAAAAAAACGGGATCATCTCTATTTTATAGTGATTCATAATCGCATTACATTGTCGGTACATTGCTTTTAGAAAGTATTTCTTTTTAATATCGAAAAGGTTTGTTCGTGTCTGTGCTAGAATTCTGGGAATATGCATGAAACCATACATTTGCAGAACAGATGCCTGTAGCCTTGTCACAATAGGCAGCGTTGAGGCAGTGTCCACACTTGGAGGTGCAGTTTCCATAGTAACCGTTTGGGCACGCTGTAGGGAATGTAGAACGACTTCGAAATGATATGTTTCAAATAAACTGATGCAATTTAAATATAAGGCATTTTCAAATACAAAGTTCATCCCCGGAAGTTAATGTCAATATCTAATACCAAGATGCATATTGGAGTGGTTTATATCTGGAAAAAAACAAGCGAGACATTATGCTTACATTCAATCAACTTCATATATAACAATGTACATAGCTTCAAACCAATCCTGTTGTGTTTTATTGTGTCTGAATAGCTTAGAACCTGTACCTGTTGGCAGTCTGGCCCCATGCATCCTGCAGCACATCCACTCAGACACTGCCCACTGATCTTGTCACAAACTTTGGTGTTTAGTGAACAGTGACACTGTTTGTCAGAGTCCTCACTAAACCAGCCGTCACTACAAACTGAAACGTACATGACAGCAATAACATCAGAATCATATAAAAAATCATATTTCGTGATTAATGATGTTCAAAATTAGAAAAAGAGTACATTACCTCAGAACTATTAAAATCAATGTGGTAATGTGAAAACGGGAAGGCAATCTGACATTAATAATATAGTATATCTATTCTATCGACTGTTTTATTACGAGGGTGTCTATAATTTCATTTACACTAAGACCTTCCAGCATTGCGAGTCCAATTACCATGATAAAGACACAATAGTTTAAGTCCCGCACAATATGACGTCGCTATCCCTCGTTATACCTGTTTCACAGAAACGGCTGTTTGGTTATTGTGTATAGACAGCCCGCCTATCGGCACCGTCATGGTGATTTAAAAAAATAAACATTGTACAGAAAAGTGGTACAACGTCGAATTTTTACACACGGTGTGAACAAAGTGTGCATCATTCATCTCGAGTCGATTGTCCTTCCAATATCGCATCTTTAAAGTATGCACTGCCTAGAGTGAGTGAGTGAGTGAGTTAAAAATTATAGTCACATCGGCAATATTTCAGCCATATTGTGACTTAAAAAGTTATATATTAACAATAAATACAATTACATTATAAAACACCTGTCAACAAAGGACAGTAAAATAACTAGATTATCAACGTATTAAATTTAAGACTAGTAATTAAATCTAAAATAGTTTACTTAT